TATATATATATATATACAGACTTTAAATGTATAAAATATATATATTTTTTCTTATAAATTATTGGATTAATAATGAATTTTTATTCTATTAAATAGAGTTTTCTTAAACAAAAATTCTTTTGCAGTTATTGTTAAATTATTTGTTGAATAGGGGGTAATAACTATATTCAAGTTAAACAGTATCATAAATTTGTCAAATATATCCTTACAAGCATACTCATGTAATTTAAATTTGAAAGTTTTGCTTTACTTAATTCTTCTTGTACTTTTGTTAAAATTATTTTTTGAAAAAAATATTTATTCAAATTTTAATAATTTTGAAGGAGTTAAAGAACTTGAATCAAGATAATGTCAAATTATAATCTACTTCTTGTTTTAGAAATAACAGTTTTAGATTTAAATTCATGCATTTCTCAGACATATTTTTATCAAGTAATTTTTAAAAAAATATTTGTAAACAGAAAAGTTAAAGAAAAAAAAATTTATGTTATAGTACAAAGACTGCTTTTATTAACATTTGTATAAAGTCAAAAATGACATTTATCACCTATTTGTGGTAGCACAAAAAAGCTTAATAAAATTAAGGAACTCTTTGTATTTTGGTAAAGTTTATTTTGAAAAATAAGCAGTAAATAACGAAATAAAAATTAAATTTATATGTTCTTTTTTTTTACAAGTTTCTGTATACTCTCAGATTTTAGATAGTTCTTTAACTTTATTATGTTGCATTGATTACTCAGAAATGTTCAAATTAGTTGCAAGGGACTATAACTATTTCTAACTGCTATATATTTACCAATCAAAAATTTACAAACTGGAAGAACGTTTTTAAAGATTAAGCCTTAAAAGTTTTAATCAACTAACTTTTTCATGTGTCTTAATTTATAAGGTACTTTTTTCTTCTATGAATCTGATGTATTTATTCATGTAGATAAATAGGAATCCACAATACAATCGTTTGTTTTTGCAGACTTGTGAAAATATCTAGTTTAAAAATCATGAAGTTTCAAAAGTTACTTGACATGCAGGGTATTTTTCTGATTATGGAAGAGAAGTGTCTTAATAAGTTTTAATTTCATCATGAATTTTCATCTTTCACAATAAAATTATATTGAGAAAATTATACAACTGTTAAAAATACATTAAGATGAGAGATGAGCATTTATATTTTGTTTGTGAGTATCTTGTGTTAGGATGTAAAAACTCCCATCCTACAATTATTTTTCAATTCTCAATTACTCTAGAATGATAAGAACATTTAATTTATTGATAGCAATTTTTTTCTCTCGTTTTTAAACCATCAAGAATTTAGCACTTGGATTTAAAACAAAAATACTGAAATTTCAATAGCAAATTTTCAAATTATTATTATATTTTTTTAGTTATAGTTTCTGTCAGTGGTAGAAAAATGTTTAAATGCTCTTTTCTTGATAAAAGTAAATTTTTTTTAAAACTATGAAAAGTTTTAAATTTAGTTTTAAAACCTTTCCAATTTTCATTTTCTTCCCTGAAATAATATTTTAAATTATTATATCTAAAAAAAAAGAAGAATTTTTTTTAAAATCGTGTTTTTTTCCTTTGAGCCTTTAGCGTTTAAAGTTTATTCTGTATGTTGCACATGAGTAGGAAAGTAACTGTAGTAGAAGTATTCTGCGTCACTCTAGAGTTCCCAAACGGTGGTCCGAGGAGGTGGGCAGACAGGTACGTAAGTAGGTACTTTATTTACGTCACACTAGAGCTGCTGAATGGCTACTGGAGACGGTCTGGGAAACAATCCTAAGGATGAACCGAAGACATGCAATCACAATTTTGTGAGGCCACTTCCAGGATTTTAACATTGATCTGAAGGAGAAGGTAAATTTCTCCAGATCCATGTACCCATGGTACTGCTCAACGATTGACCACAGGACTCGATTCCCCAGATTTGTTGCTGTTGTTTTACGTCGCACTAGAGCTACCTAATGGGCTATTAACGACGGTCTGGAAAACATTCCTGAAGATGATCCGAGGACATGCTATCACAATTTTGTTCCACTGCAGAGGAGATTATTCCCCTGCTTCAGTAGCCCGACGACCTGCACTTGAAGTCTATCACTAGCACTAGAAGCATTAGAGTCGAGCACTTGGGATAATTCAGAGGGTCTGTAGAACAGTTTAGCAATGACTGATACCGCACATCCTTGGTCACTTTTCAGGCTGCAAAGGGGTCAGCCACCCACACACTAGCCAGTGATGCCTGATTTCGGTGTTCTACGGGAAGCCGCGTCTTAAAGATTAGTCCACTGCCGGACCCACAAATTTTACGAGCATTTATATCGCATATACTCGGTGGGTCTTAGTGGGGTCATAGAACGAACCCCAGCCCCTCCTGTCCGGAGTCCGTTTCTCTAATCATTAGGCTACAGCGTGTGACAGACAGAAGCATGATTGCAAAATAATTGAATGAGCGAACTCAGGAATATATTATATTAGAAAAAGGGTCATTTTCACTGAACGTAGTTACGCACTACCGAATGTCGCTCTGAAAAAATCAATTTTTCCTTTTGAAGTGAAACTTCTAGCGACTTCTAACAAGGTTGCGTTAAGCGTTTAACGCTACAATGGCAACGAGCGCCTGTGATCGTTGCAGGAGATTTTAATGTGAATTTCTCGTTACCTGAAGCTGGAAATGATAAATTGTAGGAATGATCCAACAGGGGGAACTACCATTGATGCAGTTTTTGCAAGAAATATTGATAAAATATAACTCAAACAATTCGTATCTTACTTTAGTTATCATAATCCCATTGTAAATGTTATAGATTTGGATATTTCTCCACTCGAAAATGATAATCAAAAGATGCGATCAATTGTGAATTGCAAGCAACGTCAATAAAGTTTGTCTTAAAGAAACAATATGATTTCACTAAAAATCAATTTCTACCCCTTCCTATTTTCATTTCCACAATACGAAGTTTCACTTCTTCCGCGCGGAGGGACTCCACGCACTATTTTTTTCTTGACGGCTATAGGAAGTGCGTGAACCACATTAAAGGAGAATGGTCCTTAAGAGTAAGTTCAGCGGCTTTGAATAGTGCAAACATAGGCAGTTATAATCGTGGACATAGAGGTTACATGCGAAAAATACAAAGACATTATAACATATAAAAAATCACTTGACTTCCCAAATTTGTTTATTTTCAGACCAACTCAAAATTTCAATTTGACAGTTAATAATATCAGAACTTGCAGAGGTTTTTAATTTTTATACTGTTTGATTTTATTTAAAAAAGTACAGTAGTTCCAGTTTACATAGCGGTAAATTCATTTAAAAATTTTTAGTGTTTGTTATATCGTCTTTGCTGCTTTAACTTTTTTTAGTTGATGTAATTTTTAAGGCAAAAACTTTCTCTGTCGCAACCCTTAGTCATAATCAGTAAAGAAACGAATAGCAAGTTCTGGTTTTGTTGATAACTCTTTTATTTTTAGAATAATTTATTCTTCTTCACCAGCGTTTATAAGAGTTATTGTACTGCGATGATTAAATGTTTGTAATGACACTTAAGTATTGTTACTGTCAAAAGAATTCATAAAACTAATGGCTCGGAACGCTGCTAGAGCTGCTGCAGTTTCACATTGGAACGCAGCACATTCTGATAATCATTTGTCATCAGATTATGTCTCAAAAAATTCCAGATCAAATGTAAATAAGGTAGCAAATAAGTTCATACCTCCTATGCATGCTTGCTTATTTTTAAAAAGTTGGTGGTGCAATTTCGTGAATTAGAATTTTATTCTTATCTTTTGATAACTTGCATGTTTGCTTGATTGATACATAATAATTACACTCCTTTTGCATGCTTTTTTACAGGTTAAAGGTAGAGCATTAAATTTTATTCAGTTTAAATATTATTTATCTTATTTGTTGAAAATTCTTTAATATTCGAATTTTATTATTTTATGTATTATAAAATGTTAAACGGCCAGGCAGTGATTCAATAGGTTGCAGTCAGCGCTAAAATAAATTTAAAAATTTGAAATATATATTTTTCTTAATACACATCTGTCTTTTGAATGCGGAATATAATATTAAACATTATGTATTTCTGTTTATAAATAATATTTTTTTTAAAAATTTACAATTTTTTTAGAAAAAGCTCATGCTGTTCTTGTAAATTTAAGTAGTGTTTAATTTTGTCGTAGTGTTGGTGTTAATAAGTTATTTAAATATATTTTCTTGTTAATCTCCTTTATTTAGTCAATATTGTTTTCTAACAAATAATAAGAAATTGTTTTTTTTTGTAACCCTCTAAGTTTATTTATTATCTTATTTATTGTATCAAAAGATATTTTTTTCTTCCCTTTCTTCTCCTAGTTCCTTTTTATACATTTAACAATACCATCTCTTGCAAAGTATTTTTATGGTAAATGTATTTAATTGAAAAAATTCAAATTTTATTGTGATTATATTGTATTACAAGTTGAAGAACTTTTCAATCTTTACTGTTTTGTGTTACAGTAGTTACAATATATCGAGTTTTGAAATTAATAATTTTTTTACGGGGCTTTGACGAAAAGCATTTAAACTTATCTTACTAGAATTTTTTTTGTTTACTAAAATTATTATTTTATTAAATTTAGTAACCTGAAAATGTTTTTATTCTTTAATGACCTGCCATCAGAGATTTTATTTTCTACAATTGATTATCACCTTTAAAATTGTATGTATTTTTTTTCTTCTATACAATTAATTTTAGGGACCTACTAAGCTACTGATTATATTTTCTTTTTGAAGATTAATAATTTATCTGTGTTCTTTAAACTTCTTCATATACTATTAATCTTTTTAATTATTATTCCTAATGTGGCCATCTAAAGTTTCTGTGTTCACGTAATAATTCATAGAACAGAGCTGATTTTGAATCTTATCAAGTCGAATTCGGATAGCAGCTCTTGTAAAGTAATAAAATATTTTTTATTTTATTTGTTAACTGTTACTAAAATGAAAATAAATTGTTATTGCTTGTAAGGTGATATTGCAATTTAAAGAAGTGCTTTAGAAATTGGGTTTTATTTTCTTATATAATGTACATACTAACAATGTAAATACAACATTAAAAATTATAAAATATTGAATTATGAGTATTTTTCTCCTTTTTTCTTTCATTTTTATTAGATGACTAATGCAGATATAGGAAGTGGAGATGGTGCCAATGTAAGTTTAATTTTCTATAGTTTTGTTAAAAACATTTTTAATATTACATAGTTTTCAGTATATTTTTTCTGTTTTTTTAGTTTTTGGATACATATTTGTAAGCTGATTTTTTATTTATGGAAGGGGGAGGGATTGCTGTTTCGGTTACCTGCGTCAAAATAATCTCGAGTTTTAGTTAGTGATTTCAGTTACACAGAGACGTCAGAACTTTGAAAGGGGAAAAAAAAAAATCGCAGAATCTGGCAAATTTGAAGGATAAAACTTGTAGACTCCCCTAGCGAGCTTTTCTCTATACTTTTTAAAAATATTCCCAGTACAAGAACTGGCAGTTTTTTTTTGTGCATTGGTAATTTCAATTGGTGCAAACAGGTATACTGATATGCAGACCTGTGTAATATACAAGAACGTTGTTCATGGAAAATTTGTTTACTATTGCAGAAAATGTTTTACTATTACTAAAATAAAAATCTGCCTCTTCAAAATTAATTTGTCTTTTTCGAATTCATGAAGAAAAAAATCTTTTTTATGCTTTTCTACTAATGCAAATGTGATTTAAAATTACATTCACCTGATTAAAAATCACACATCGTGATTCCTGATTTTGGATCGGGTATCGTGTTTGGTATTTTCACGATTTTATATCAAGTATTGCGTTTCAAATTCAAGTCATTTAAAAACTACTATAATGATTCGTGTTCATATGACTTAAAAAGTTACACATTGGAATTCGTACTCACGTTTTCTTAAAATGCACAAAACATTTTTGTATTTCTATTTTCGGCTTCTCTGGGTTTTTACCAAACTCTCCCCTGTGGTATGAATCAATGTACAGTAGCGAACCGATTATCCGGAGCGATCGGGACCATCGCTATTCCGGATAACTGATTTTTCCTGTTTTCTGAATTGCTACGAAAAGCCGTTTTTTTTATTGTTAAGTAAAACTAAAAAAAGAAATATTTGGAAATAATCTTGAAAAAACAAAGTAATACACTAATGATTATTTCCAAAATGATGGTAAGGTAAACATCTGGCAATAAAGAAAGACAAATCCTAAAATCTTATGAGGAAAAAAATGTTTTTTTTTTTAAAAATGCCAGAAAAATTTATTGAATTTTGTTCGGGTTTTTTGGTTTTCCGGTTTACTGATTTCCGGATAACGGGTTCTGTGCTGTACATTGATTAATCAATCAAAAAATCAGATACTTAAAACTAGACTTTTCAGAAACTATTCAACTGATTTTGCTCGAATTTTGTATTTTGCTAAATAAAATTACATTCTTTAAAATTATGCAAAAAATTTTATATTTGGCAATTCAAAATTTTTTTGATAAAATAATAATAAATATTTACTAAAAGTTATTTTTTACAAGGGATTATCTTTGCCTAAACGAATTTTATAATTGTGTGTAAAAATTTTTAATTCACTTAAAAAGTTCTTGAGATGTAGTGAAATACACAAAAAGTAAAATTAACATTAAGGTGTCCAGACTTTGGAATGCTCTCCTAACCAAACTATTGGGACCATTTTTCCCAGATTGCAACTACCCCCTATTTTTTGGGAGTCGGAAATCCAAAACTATTGAAAAAAAAAAGGTTGTTTATTCAGAGAAAGTACATTTTTGTGTCTGATTTCATAGCTTAAATTACACTTATTTTCTTAAAATATTTGAGGTCACCCTCTTAAACCATTAAGAATGAGTCTTAAAACATGAAGATTCTTTCATTAAATCAAAAGTTATTTAGGGTGGTCTGTTTTTTTTCCTTCTGCACTTTACATTGATTATATTCTTTTAATGAATTGTGTATCTTTTATTTTTCTAGACTGCAAAGGCTTTTCTCGAAGACATTATTAGAAGGTATTTACTTTTTTTTAAATACCCTAATTTAAAAAATATGTGTGTGTATTTTAAATATTTGTGTAATTATAAATTTATTATACTAATTATTACAGATTTCCTTATCCACCTTTTATATTTTCTTCAATAAATAAAACAAAAAGGAAATTTTTTTTTCCTTATTTAGTAAGCTATTAAAAAATTACTATTTAAAATTTTTTTAATTGCTGTTTTCTTTAAAGTTTAACTCAGGGATGGGTAAACTACGACACGCAGGACAACTGTGGCCCGCCGGAAGGTTTTATCCGGCCCACGGATAGAATTTTAACTTACCGATCCAAATATAAACAATATGCATTGTACATACATTTTCTTGTCTACTTTGTTTAAAGCTATTTTTGTTCCTTTTTTTAACTAAGTACTGATGACCTTTTTACTTTCTCTATTTTTGCTCTACAAAACATAAATTGAAGTTTGCACAGACAGCTTCAATTGGTAAAATGTTGAAAGCAGAAGTTCTTTATAGAGCATCCGTAGATTGACTCCAATGAGTGTCGGTCTTTCTCGAGGAGCAGACATATGGAATCTAATATAGGTGAATTGTACTTCACATGTGGCAGACTACGCATTTTTAGCTCCAACGAGCGGATTTTTCTGCTGGCGCGAGTTCTAACATTATTTACTGTGTATGGAAAGATTGTACACATATTATGTCATTGTAAATAATGGTGAAATTATTAAATGTATAAAATGGCTACCGCTATTTTGAGTTATATGATGTAAAATTTTTCAACCCCAAAATGGTAACTAAAAAATGCAAAGTTGATTCAGAGTGCCATGCTTTCAATGATGAATGGACTTTATTTTAGAAGTTAGAATTTTTATTTTAGAAGTTTTTACTTGGCCCACCAAACTTTTGTCTCAATGTTTGGCCCTCGACCAAAAAAAGTTTGCCTATCCCTGGTTTAACTAAATAAAACAGCTGTTTTCTTTTTCTTTATTGAATTATTTATTCTTTTTTGTGTTTTTTTTTAACTTAACAAATATAAGAATAACAATTTATTTGCCTGGTTTATGAAAAGATTAATTTTGAATATTTTGAATTCTGACAAAGTTTGTGCTTAAATTTATTTTATTCTTAGTTAATTAATTTTGGTGTAAAGAAATTTTTACTACCACAGTATTTGACCACCTTATTAAATAATTTTAAAATATAAAAGTCCTTATAATTATATTTAGATGCTTATAAATACCAATCATATGAATTTTTTTTTGTTTAGCTCAATTATTGCTTCACTACTTTTTAAATTAATTTGGCAAAACAGTGGACAGATGTATATAGGCTAACTTCTAGATTAATTTGTAATTTTATAATAATGAGAGAAAAACAGAATAGTAATAAACCTTAAATATAAATCTTGAAACACAGCTTAATAATTCTAAAATATTATGCTGTAAAGCCTATTTTTTAAATTGAAGTTGTTTCCACCAATTATTTGAATAAAAATTACTATTGTATTTTGCTTTATGTATGAAAAATGCATTTACTTTTCTAGATATTTCAAGCTAAATAATATTAAATATTTCCCTCTTATTTTAAATACTAATTTAACATGCATCTATGTAAATAAAAATTCATATGTATATTTTTCCATAGTGTTATGTTTTTAAATTTTTTTTTTAGAGTTGAAGGTTTGTATGCTGTTGTGATTACAGATCGAGATGGAATTCCCGTCATTAAAGGTATAGCTTTAATAATAATTGTAATTGTAAATAAGGAAAATATTTTAATCTTTGTAAATGCTTTTAAAAACTGTCCTTTAAAGTTTTCAATTAGATATTCAGCACAAGCTTTTATTTTGCTGGATAAATTACATTGACATTATGGTTAACTAGTTTCTCATCATGTTTTTTTTTATTAGTTAACCTTCTTTATCTTATAAATTTTGGCAAATTAATAACATGAAATATCCGAACTACCCCCTCACCCCTATCCCCTTGAGTTATTACTTAGTAAAGATCCCATCTTTGACATTATGAGAAATGGGACTGAGTTGAAGAGCCACTTTTCAGAAAAATTTAAAAACTGACAGGAAAAAATCAAAAATACAAAATGTTTTTACTAAATATTATTGTCCAAAATTTATTTGTAAATTAAATATATATAACAGCTGTATTCGTAAAATTCACGTGAAATCGAAGCCTTTAAACTTTACAATAAATATACCAAATTCTAACTTTTTATTTGCATTTGTGTGAACTGTGGAATGGCTCATGGTATTTTTTCCAACAAGTTTAATTGTTAATAAATATTGGTCAAATATTATTTTTTTATTCCATCATGATTCCTGTACACTTTTCTAACCACCTTAGTAATTTCAAGTTTCGAAGTCCTCTATTCTTTGCACAGTAAAGCAAAATATGATGTCAAAAAAATAATTCAAGAGAATTGAGATTTGTAAAATGAAAAAGCCATTTTGTGAATTAACAAAATCATTTTTATTGACATGTCCTTTTTTTTAAAATTAGTTTTACACCCTATAACTCTTTCAAAAAATTTCCGAGTATTCTTGCTTTCAAAATCGTATTTTACTACACCTCTATAAATATGTCCAAATTCACATAACTTAATCTTAAAAAATAAAAAATTTTTTAGAACCTATTAATATTACACTGTTTATTAAAAATATTAATAGTTTGCAATATTAAATTGGGGCCTTTGTTTTTCTTCAATATATAAATTATACTTTTATTTTTGTTGATTAATTTTTTCTTAACTAAGAATATATAATATAGTTTCTTGATAAAGCATCTTGTATGTTGTTCTACATCTAATATCTTGTACTGCATGGTAATTTTTTGTTTGTCAAAAATGACGTAATTTAAGTTCTCCTTATTTGTAGAAGTACATTTGACTAATATATTTCTCATATAAATTTGATAACATCCTTTTATGCAGAAATTATTTTCTTATTTAAATTAACTATACATAATCTCTTGATAAAGTTAAAAAAATTATTAAAATGTTCATCAATATTTTAATTTACAGCATATATTTTAATTGGCCATTAATTTGGCTTTTAAAATCTTTTTTTATTTTAATCTAGTAGAACATTATATTAAATATAACTCTGCTCTCAATAATATAATATAATATATCTGCTTTCATAATATAATGTAATATATCTGCTTTCATAATATAATATAATATACTCTGCTCTCAAAATTTTTTGTGACCATTTGTTCCTGTTATAAAATTAAGGTAAATTTTTTTTCTACAAATTTAAATTGTGGAAATATAACTTTTTTTTCCATTCTAAAAATAATTAACAGATCCACTGAGATAATTTTTTCTTTGCTAAGCGTTAGACATATTGCATAATATGATGTTGAAATTTTATCTTGGTTCTCTATAGAAGCACAATTGATTGTGATTCTCACATCCAAGCATTTTAGCTCTTAGTCTAAAAAGTGATTATAATTATTGTTAAAAATTTTGTTATTAAAATTAAAGCAAGTTGTGTTTTTTTTGGTTCATTTGTATGAAGTGTTTAAGTGCTTAAGATATGAAAACTTCATGAAACCAATGACTATTATATTGTAATTAAATAATTAAATATTTTATTTTTATAAAGAGCATTTCATAGTTTTATACATCTTTTATAAGCGAAGTTACATTCTGGTAATAGTTTATTAAAGAACAAAAAATGAACAATTTAAAGAACAACTTCTTTCATGATGAAAGAAATGGTTCAGTTTTGTTAGTTTTATTTTAAGAAACATTATTTTTCATAATTTTGAAAGTTTATTAAGATTTAAAATGTATATTTTTCGTTTTTCATTTAGTTAGCAATCCTGACACTCCAGAAGCTGTATCTAAACCCAGCTTCTTAGCATCTGTAAGTTTAGCTGTCGAACAAGCCGGAAAGCTGGGTAATGGAAAAAATAAACGTATAATGTGTATGTTCAATAGTTATCAGGTAATGACATCTCTTGCACATGAATATGTTTTATTAATAATTCAAATTTGATTTCTTTTTTTAATGCTTTCTTTTCTTAAAATATCTCTGTGAAATGTCTGTTTTAAAAAGAAAATGTGAAAATGATTAAAGAAGAAAAAATGTATAAAAACATTTTGTTTTTACTTAAGCCTTTTGTTTAGAGGTGGGGAATAATTTTATTGCTCCACACAGCTGACCTTTGCAGGGTCTGTGATATTGAAACCATTGTTAAGAGGTAGTTGATTTATTCATTTTAAGTTTTTTGAACCATAAACAAACTGATAGTTAAAAAAAAATTCAAATGAATAAATTACTATCAAACCAAAAAATCTATTCTTCAAGCAAAAAGAAATAAGTGCAGTTAACTTACCCACATTATCTTACAATTGACATTTAAAAACATAAGTTTCTCCTATTGATTTTTTATTTTTTAAGCAAATTTTCTGGTATCAGTAACTGGGTGTTGTAGTTCTTCATTATTATTATTAAGAGCAAATATCTAATTACAATTTTGTAATGAAAAACTCTACATTTTCGAAAGCATTTACTAAATCAGCAACATTTTAAATTATGTTCAGTTAGGTCAGCTGAAATTTTTATTTGTTTAGGATGTAAAAACTTGACTATGATATCGCTGACTAAATTTCAGGCGAGCAACAGGTGGCTGTTGTTCCTAATCCTATAGAGGGCATTTGATTTCATAAACATATAGCTATTCTTTGGAGGTTGCTGTTGTTTTAAAGTAGTTTTTCAAAAGATGTTTGACTGTACTATGCAATAATGTAGCATGAAATGTGTGAAAATAATATTTATATTACAGTACACATGGTCAGGACAGCTTGGTTGGTATGGCAACGGGCCATGTCCAAGAGGTTGTGAGAGGTGAAGACTCCCTGTGTAGTAAATGGTGACAGTGGTGCATGTTAAATCTGTCGGGTCACAAAAGTCTCCAAGTTCCCATAACAAATCAATTCCTCTGGGGTGCTGAATTGGAGATTGATTAATCTCTGGTTCAGGTCAAAATTGCCATATTGATTAATTTCTGATTCAGGTCAAAATTGCAATCTATGGATGAATGAATGCGTCTACCCTCTAAACCGGGCTGTGACATGTATGGCTGACTGAACCACTGAACTGATGCACCACTGAAAAACAAGAAAAGCGCACTCTGCCTTAAATTCGTTTGGTTTTACCAAGCAGGCTTGCTGGTATTGGGACGTGGCATTAGAAACAACAACATTAGCACGAAAATTATTTTCTGCCTTTATTGCAACTCTTAGAAATCATGCCAATCTCCAAAGAAAATTAAAAATAAGAAAACAAAAATCAAAAATTATTGATAATGATCTAAAGTTATCAGTATAGCTTTATGTTAATTGTTCTTTCTATTAATATAGTTCTAAATATCAGCATTTGTTTTTTAAAAATATAATAAATATAAATTTCTTAATTATAAGGCTTTTAATTAATTAAGAAAAGACTTATTTAATTACTATTTTTTATAGATATAAATGAAAAATACATGTTGGTAAATATCTTATGTGTAAAATTTTATTTACAGGTAATTCATTTTAACAAACCTCCCTTGTTGATTAGTCTGATTGCAAGCTCCAAAGCAAATACAGGTAAAAATATGAAATATGTAAAGAATTTATTTTGAGTTCCATTGAAAATGAAAATTTAAGAAAATTATAATTAAAATGATATTTAAGATGTAAATTTAGAGTGTTGCAAAGAAAAGTGAAGTTCAAGTCTTTGCTTAAGGAAGCAGACATTCTTTGTATTGTTTTAAAAATTTTAAAAAAATTTTAATTGGTTTTTAAGTAAGCCAATTTTAATTGAACGATTGCTTTCTGCTTAAAAGAGTTAACCTTGCTTTGCAAATTTTTTTGATTTTAGAAAAAGTGCTTTTTTTTTTTTTTTTTTTTNTTGTTTTTTTTTTTTTTTTTTTTTGGATAAACAAACCACATGTCAAAGTTTTCAAAAAACAAAGGTTCCGCTGTGTTTATCTGTCATCTGCATAAAATTAATAGAATTCATATTTAATTTTTTCTTCCAAATTATTCATTGCTTATACCCATTATTATAATAATGTGTTTTAAATCTCTATTATTTTGTTGAGCCTATTTAAAAAAAAAAATTTTTTTTTGCCTCTTTTTTTTTTATCTTTGTTTATAAGTGTAGAATATTAATATCATGTCAATGCTTTATTTTATGAAAAATATTATTTTTTTTTAAATAGTGTTTAAGAATATTAAATTACTTAATGCATAAGGTAATAATCATAACCCATTACATTAAGTGCATTTTAATATTTAATGTAAACTTGCGTCTGGTTAATCAAATTTTTTTCTAGAAAATAAGTGTTAAGATTACAAAGAAATAGTAGGATACTTTTGGGATTTGTTATTTTCTTTTGTGAAAAGTATTTTTAGAGAATCCAAAATCTGACTAAAAGCTTAACAATATCTTTGTGCATCAAGTCTCCACTATTAAAGAACAACATTATTTTAAGAGTGCTAAAAAATAAACAAAAGATTTCACTAATAAGATCTAGGATTTAGTTTGGATAGTACTTATAATATTTTAACAATGATAAAATTTATTACTTTGGGACCATTTATCTCTCTCAGTTGATTTGATTGCAATAAATTGCTGTTCAGCACATTGCTGCTTGCTCATTAAAATATCTAAAGAAATATTAATGTTTAATTGAAAAACTTAGAAAATTTGTTTCTTTATTATAATCAATAGTAGAAATTGTTTGTATTTTTATACTCAAATATACAAATTTTTAAACACTGTAAAAATGTTGTCTTTCATATCAATAATATATTTCTTCAATGCACACATTCATTTCACTTATATCATGAATCTCCACCTTTCTTGGTGATATTATTGCAAAATAGAGTGAATTCTCTGTGACAATGTTATTGATCATGTGTAATTCACCTATTTCGTGCATATGGATCACTATGTTAGTATTTATGAATCACAATGTTTGAAAGCAAGTTAATAATACAGTTTATGTGAAGCTAATTTCTGATTTAATATTTGTGAAGTAAATGTTTAAAAAATTATGTTTTTATTTTTTATTTTGTTCCTTTTTATTTTTGTTATATCTCACTTTTTAGTTATCCTATGTTATGTTAACTGCTATTTAACTTTTCAATAGTTGATATCTATAGTTCATATATTTATTTATATTTTTAAGCTATTGAAGTGTCTCTTTTGTACAATTATTTTAATTTAGATTTCAAGTTTTGTCTTTTGCAGAATTTTAATTAAGCCCATAGTTTATGGGTCAATTTGTTAGCAGAAAAATTGTCATATTTTTTTGACATAATGCATGTTTTAATATTTCATATTAGATATTTTCTTTTACTTTATCAAAGTTAAGTCATTAAGGATGCTATCTACTAAAAGATTAAATGTTTAATTATCTGTATATTTAATTATCTGTAAATTCTGCAAATATTTAATTATCTGTAATTCATAACTTAGGTGATATCTGATATATATTTTTTTAAAAAATATTTTTAGGATTTTTATTGAATTTGGAATCTGAACTTAGTGTCCTTGGAGAGGAAGTAAATGTTGTGGTAGAACAATAATTATGCATTGTAAGATTTTTTTTCTTCTTGCTTTATGTTTAAAAATATTATCGAAAATTTAAGATGTTAGTGAAAGAAGGTGTCAAAGGTTATTCTAAAAATGCTTAAAACTTTTGTTTCTGAAACATGTCGTGATTAGCTGTATCTGTACTGCATTATTTTTTATTTTCCAATTTTTTTTAAAACGAAACTCTTTTTATGTAAAATGATGTATCATAAACAGCTTTTGCTATTTTTTTTATTTTCTGCTGTTTTTTTTTTCCTATAGCTTTTTTCTTTTTCTATATACATATTTCTATATTTTCTATTACTAAAACGTTGCTTAGTACCTTCTTCCACTGAGTTATTCTTTTGAAAAGAAAAATTTTTATACTGTGTATAACAAAAAAAGAAAATGACAGTACTGTAATTTTGTAATTTTCAAGAAATGAAGTGGGAAATAACATATATTTCTCATTCAAAAGGTTTCCAGCGTAAAATCGATAATCAGTGTATTTTTTTTTTGCTGGTAAGATTCTATTCTTATTATTTCGAAATCACTCTTCAGTTTTTGTTGCCTTTATTTTGTTGAATTTTCTAAAATATTTTACTGTTTTTAAGTTTAAATATATTTTAATTAAATTTTTTCATCCTTTTTTTAAATAGCCAAACTTTTGATGATGAGAATGAAAATTTCCATGTCATATATACAGTGTAATTCATAACAATGAGCCCATTTTATAAATTATTTGCTTGAATATTAATAGTAACAAATATACTGGGGAACAATTTTTTTGTTTTGTTGCACAAGTTTAACAGATCTTAAATATTGTCATGTTGCTCATTATAAATTGGCAATTGGTTTCTATCTCCAAGCTGCAGTTTTTTTAAATGACATTTTCAGTCTATTTTTTGTCAAAATGTACTAGTTTAAAAAATGTTCTGTATAACAAGGCGCTTATTCTCATGACTCAACAGATGAAAATGAAGAAACCAAAAGAAATATTAAAAAAAGATAATGTAATGCTGCCAACAAAAATTGAAGGTGAAAAACAAAAAGAGAAAAACAATGATGCATGTGGAAAATGATGGTGGTTGAGAGAGGCAAATCAGGGCAGGTAGCATTTCCATTCTCTAAACGACAAGATCCTTCTGGATTCTCCGTATCACTTATAAATGTATCCTGTCCTCATTTTCTTTTCTCAACCACTATTATTTTCTTCGACTATCACTGTTTTTCTTGTTATATTTATCACCTTTATTTAATTTTCCATACTTTTGTTGGCAACTTCGAGTTTTCTATTAAAAATTTTTTTTGTTTAGTTTTGAAAGTGGGTTGATTTTTGTTTACTTGAAAAATGTTGACTTTTTCCACCTTAATAATTTTTGAAGCTCATGAAGTTATTCCATTATCAAGTCCGCGATTTAGTTTATCCTTGTCTTGAATAAGTCATTAAATTTTTTATTTGATATTATTTTTAATTTAAAATATTTGTAAGAGAATGTGAGTTAAAATTTTTCATAGTTTTAATTGAAAACTTTCTCAGTGGAATTTAGTTTTTTAAATTTGTAATTATATGTTATATTAAAAGTTATGTTACATTGGATATATTTTGTGAATTTTATGTTACAAATTTATTTTTCATCTNATTTGATATTATTTTTAATTTAAAATATTTGTAAGAGAGTGTGAGTTAAAATTTTTCATAGTTTTAATTGAAAACTTACTCAGTGGAATTTAGTTTTTTAAATTTGTAATTATACGTTATATTAAAAGTTATGCTACATTGGATATATTTTGTGAATTTTATGTTACAAATTTATTTTTCATCTTTGATAGATTTAGAATCAATTGCTGTATCAAGAAAAAAAGAGGAAAGATATGTGTAAATACTTTATGTTAATTTATGTAAATTTCTAACAATAAACGTTAATTCTTTTCGTGTTTTGTTTCTCATGTTTCTTAATAAATACAATTATCTTTAAACTGCACTGAATATTTTAAACTATATTTTCTTATTACAGACGCTTTTATTTTTTTCATACTCTCTAGCTTCATTTAGTTCACAAATTTAAGATCATTTGCTTATGTGTTTAGTTTTAGATTGATTAAATTTTCTTTAGTTGAGAAGAAAATATCATTATTTCTTTTTACAGGCTTAGGTTTAGTGAACTAAGTATAAATTATTGTAAATAATTGAAAGTAAACAACAACAAAAATAGTAGCACTAAATCAGAATTTTGTTAAATAAATTATATTATTAAGTATATTAGTACATGGTGCGTAGCGTTTTTTAAAAGTGCTTAAAGGTGCTTATTTTTGATTTTCTTTTTTTAAAAGCCCTTAAATGTGCATTTTTTATTGGGTGTTTTTAAAAAGAGCTTAATTTTCCCTTTTCGAAATTGAGATTTTTTCTTTAGCATTTCGATTTTAGGCTCATATTATGCAAAAGTGTGCTTTTCTCATTGTTCTATAAAACGTTTTCACAATTCATTCAAACACAATGCATTTCGGNCGAAATCAGAATTTTGTTAAAATTATATTATTAAGTATATTAGTACATGGTGCATAGCGTTTTTTAAAAGTGCTTAAAGGTGCTTATTTTTGATTTTCTTTTTTTAAAAGCCCTTAAATGTGCTTTTTTTTATTGGGTGTTTTTAAAAAGAGCTTAATTTTCCCTTTTCGAAATTGAAATTTTTTCTTTAGCATTTCGATTTTTGGCTCATATTATGCAAAAGTGTGGTTTTCTCATTGTTCTATAAAACGTTTTCACAATTCATTCAAACACAATGCATTTCGGATTACCGTCGGCGTATCGTATGAAAGCCGTCAATGTCGTAGCGTATGAAAGCGCCAATCATTTTACATGTTTGATGAAATACTTGCGGGTCAGCGTGCACGTATACTAAGCTGGGTTTGGTGATCTCACTGAACCCAGCACTCTCATGTGCAAATCTGCTGCATTTTACAAGATATATTCAATTTCAGGTTTCATTTTCCACCCTCTGAAATCGAACTGAAAAATCTCTCTATCTTTGTTAATCTCTCTAAACTTGTTATTTTATCATGATCATGTAAAGTCTTTGAAAATTATTTTGCATTTTGTTAATGTATCTAGTGCTTCAAAATATTCTTTTAGTGCTTAAAACTCATTACTGCTTAATTTTAACTAGTTTTTAAAAAAAATATTATTTTAATTAGGTCTTGAAATTAGATTGTTAGTGATAAAATATTACTTAAAAGTGCAGAGGAAACTTATTATGAGCATCTTGTACTCTATTGTTAAAAAGGAGTTTTCTTGTTAAGATATCCCTTTTCAAATTGGAAAGTAATGATCCTAAGAACAATCTAAAAAATAAATAAAAATGATATTTAATACTTCGTTTCACAAAAGAAGCAAAATCGATGAATAAAAAATGGATGTTAACTATGCAACTAAATAGGAAACATGAATTTCATGTGAACACTAAAATCATTGTCTTAGTTTTTTTATATTATTTTTTACTCCAGATGTAAATTGGGTTTTTAAGAATGACTAATCACACATAAAGTTTAAAAGTTTTTCTTGCTGAGCCATTTCATTTTGTCTTATTTAATATAATAATAAAATTTAAAAAAAAAATCAGAAATTTTTCTTTAGTTACAAAGGAATCAATTTACTTACAGCAAAATTGTTTCAAGTCCTAAAAAGTGTGCTAAGCTAACTATGTAAGGCTTATTAGTATGTGGGAAGAGGTGGAATGTAAATTGATTTGATATTTAAATAAAATTCCAAAACAAAGTCAGAATTGTTTCTTTAGTTATAGGGGAATCATTTTACTTACAGAGGAACTCATTGTTTCAGTCCTCAAAGGTGTGTAAGGCTAATTTTGTAAGACTTATTGGTGTGTGTAGGAAGGGGGAAATGTAAACAAATTATTTAATCCTTTGCAGTCATATGCCAGCTTTTGATTACCAGTACCTATTGAGTATCAATAACATACGGATTTAATATATTTGTGAAATATGGTAAATAAAATCGAACTGGTTGAGACAATTGTTTTCATTACAATGGCATAGGTTGACCATGTTTTTTAAATTTTTTTTTGTATGCAAATTACAGCTAAAATAAAGATGCCTACCATTAGCACAATAGGTGGAAATAATTTTGTTATTAAAAATTTAATCATTGAGTATTTAAATCTTGAAATTTTATTAGGTAGTAACAAATTTATAACAATAAAAAAAAGATTAATCTTTTTATATCTGGTGTATTGGGAGAAAAATATATTGTTTTTCCATCGTGTGTACAATCTTTTTTTATTTCTATTAATATCACAAAACTCTAAAAAGCTGCATTTTTTTTAAATGCGAACTGGAAAGCAGAAAATGTTACTACGAAAGAAGTAACGGGGTGATATTTAGTGGATGATAGAAATTATTTACAAAAGTGATGTGTTCTATACTTTTCGTTTTGTCTGTGGCAAAACATTTGTGTGGTAGTCCACTTGAAAAATGTACTTTTTAAAATTTCTTTTATTGTTTTTTTCTATTTTACTTTGTTTAGGTTGGAAAGTGGTCGAAATATATTTGGTAATGAAAAAATAAACAAATTGTACTTATAACAATTGGGAAATAATTGTTATTTGTATTGTCATCAGCCACAGAATTAAAGTTGAAATTTAAGCACTCTAGTTACTCAAGCCGTGGGTGAAATTTCGATTAGACGATATTTGGAGATAAGAAAACGATTGAAACTTGTGAAGTCATCCAGTTCAGAGCTCCATTATAAATTAGAATGCTTCAGCTTGGTTTCATCTGGCTATAATGCTACGTCAGTACGGATTATAGATTAATACGCAAAAATTTGTTTTTAAAATAGATGTATACGCTTACATTTCCATTAAGATTCATGTTAAAAATTTCAAATTTTACAAAACTGTTACAGTCCCAAACCGTTTTAATAAGATTTATTTCATTCAAAAATATTATAACGCAGGTAGAAAAATAAAGTTTTTTTAGTGAGCAATCCCATAAACTAAGCATTTTTGCAATATTTTAATTTTGAATAAAATGCTTTATTATATTTTAAGTACATTTGGACCAATTATTGATTATACTTGTACTACAAAAATTTATTTGCAGGAAGAAATGTCGCCAAATTTTCAATACAATATGAAGCACTTTGCATTGAAGTATAAATTGTGAGACACTTATAGGTTTCTTAAAAAATACACAATTTGAAATGAAAATAATAACTTGAGTTAAATTTTTAATTTAATTTTACAACCAATAAAAATGTAATTTGAGTGATTGTCGATTGGTGAAAATCTTTCAAAAGAATTAACATATGTTCTCAAAAAGCAAACGATTTTAAATCAAACGGAACCACAGAAAACTTACATTATTAATATTTGAATTGAAATTTATGAAAATCGCAAATGAACATTCGTAATAAATCAAAACATACAATCGCGAATGAACATTTTCAAATGCATTTACAGTTATTGACAATTAGCATTTACAATTATTACAAATATGCATTTACGATTATTAAAAACCTTTAATTAAAGTTAATTTAACTAAAGGTTTTAGGTTTAAATGTTATAGAAAAGTTTCCCCCCCCCCAACATTTCGGTGGCTTTACAGTATTTAGCACAGGATTTACTAATATTAAAATTTTAATGTGAAAAATTTGTACTTTATAATTAATAATTAAGTTATATCAGCTTAATTAATAAAAAGAAACAGAATTACTATTTATAATTTCTAAAAAAAGCAGGCGAAAAAATTAACAAAATAATGATTTTCAAAATAGCATTTTTCTTTTGAACAATCCATTAATTTGTATTTATTATGCCTAGCACTGAATTTTGATTCTTCACGTCGGAAGGTGCCAGAAGTGTTCTCATTTAAACGTTAACCAGGGGGCACAAGTGAACCCAAGTCGCGTAGGTGAGCAACGTTATCCACGCCGCACTGCCACAGATACCCGTTTATAAGGTGGGCCATATTCACCCATCACACAATGGAGAACAACACACAGAGAGAAATATCCTTACCCTGAGCGGGATTCGAACTCACAACCATTGGCTTCACAGTCAGGCGTGCTGATCGCTCGGCCACCTGGCCGGCATAACTCTCCATTATATATAATTAAGCAATAAATATATTTGACCATTTTTATTTTCTTCCATTTCGTAGGGGAGAGTGGGGTCAATTGTAACAGGGTACGATTGTAACAAAGCAAAAATTTCGAGTGTCGGGTTCTAGATTTGGTTCCTAGGTGGCGCACAAGGTGTATTTAATGAATCTACATGTACATCCCGGCTGGCAACCATTTTTATGTACTTTTGAAAGAGTTACATCACAAAAGATATTTTCACGCTACGTAAGTACTTTTTTTGGTATTAGAATATTGAATTGTAACAAAGTAATTTCGTTTAAACAAATAAGAATTATTAACCGAATATGTAAGTGGACACCTTAATTAACATTCCAATTTTAAAAACAATTACTTTTGTTAATTGACTAGCATTGTTTTTAACGCTGAAATGGCGTCTTGGGGACGATTGTAACAATAAGTAAAGGGACGATTGTAACNGTGCCAGAAGTGTTCTCATTTAAACGTTAACCAGGGGGCACATGTGAACCCAAGTCGCGTAGGTGAGCAACATTATCCACGCCGCACTGCCACAGATACCCGTTTATAGGGTGGGCCATATTCACACATCACACAATGGAGAACAACACACAGAGAGAAATATCCTTACCCTGAGCGGGATTCGAACTCACAACCATTGGCTTCACAGTCAGACGTGCTGATCGCTCGGCCACCTGGCCGGCATAACTCTCCATTATATGTATATAATTAAGCAATAAATATATTTGACCATTTTTAATTTCTTCCATTTCATACATTTTTTTCTATCTCTTCAATTCCCCCCCCCACTTTCTTCCTGTGT